AGGTGGGTGTGGGTGTGGGTGTGGGTGTGGGTGTGGGTGTGGGTGTGGGTGTGGGTGTGGGGTGGGTGTGGGTGTGGGTGTAAGTGTGGGTGTAAGTGTTGGTTTGGGTGTGGGTGGGTGTGGGGTGTGGGTGGGAGTGGGTGAGGGTGGGTGTGGAAGTGGTTGGGTGTGGGTGTGGGTGTCAGCTTTGATGAAAAGAAGACTCACGCTACACCCACATCCACACCCGCACCCACACCACACCCACATCCACCCACACCCTCACCCTATTAAAGCACTTTAATAGATCAAAAGATAATAAAGTTTATTATATGAAAAAATGAAAAAGCACACCGAAAAGGGATAGAAGAGATGGTAATCTTAGTAAAAAAAAAAATATATATATATACATTTAATCTATAATAGGGCTATGTGAAATTAAAAAAGGTGAAAAAGAAACCTCCATTTGTATTCATCATCAAGAAATGGGGAATGTAATTCATTCTGGAATAGGTCCATTGAACGAGTGTCGTTTACTTCGTGATCCAAACTGTGGTTGAAAATTAGTATTTGTTGAAAGAGTCAATGGTGATAATACCCCTTTATTTAATAAACTTGCTTTTCCAATCCAACAATAATTCGTCCCATTGGGTCCATGAATTTGAACGCCAGTAAATAAAGCATACTGACGTTCTTTAAAGTCTTTGGCGTCATATCGAATATGTCTCTCTAAATCAATTGTAATCGTTTCATAAGCAGCCATTGTTACTTTGTATAAATCTGGAGGATTCGTTGAATCGGTAGAAAGACCAGTTTGTTGAATGATATGTATCTTTAACATACTCATTTCAATATCATTCTCATCGAGATTAAGATTTAATTTATTCGAAGCAATTTCGGATGCAAAAGCAGCGAGAGCACCACATGCTGCTGTTTTTTTATTCATACCACTGCGTGTTCGATAAACAGAACCAACTGATCCTTTATGATCAATGGCAATATGCGTAAAACAATAATAAATAAAACAAGCATTGTCTGGAGCATGATGATGTGCAGCAGAGAAACCAGTTTTGCCGCAAAATAACATACCACCAAGAGAACCACAAATAAATGCTTGACCCCACATTGCTTCGACTGCCTGTTCAAAAGGACTTGTGATTTCATCTCGGCATAAGCCAACACAAACTAACGTATTTACATGAGGATAGAAACCTTTGGAAACCAAAGTTTGCTTCGTTTGAAAAACGAACTCTTCCAATCCATAAGCACCAGGAAATAATTCTTTTAAAGTTATTTGAAAAGGGTCATCAAAGTTTCTGTCAGACTTGATGGGTTGCTTACATTGGGAACAAATTTCACCGGTCTGAGGTTCACTCGATAGGCCGATCAGAGAAGGATCAGGGCGAGAGGAAGTAAGAACATGATGCACTTTTTGTGCTCGTGAAGGATTGTAGCTCATGATATCTAAAACAAAACAAATATACGTGGCACGAAAATATAATTCATACATATCTATATGATATAACACAGACATCTGAATGCAGTCATTCAATGCTAGCGTCTACCCATATATCTACGACAAGATAAAGACAAGATTCACTTAATATGTGTCGTACAGACGAAGGACTGCGCATTTGTTAGCAGAATTTCACTTGTGTCTTTTTTTCAATATGTGGCAATTAGAAAATAATTT